ACGCAAATTGATAAAGAAAAAAAAAAGAAAAAGGTTTTGGAAGGTTATAAAAAAATGAATTTTTAATCCACGTGATTAATATTTTTAGAAGAAGTCTTTGCCGGTCTTCAGAGGGTTTCAAGGGCAGAGTTTTTACATCCACAAATTTAACCGTTAAGTCGTACAAATATTTCCTATAATAGCGCGCGCGTATAATAAATCATACTTCTGCACTCGCATTAAGAAGGTAAAAAATCATTTTTTTTTTTTTTTTTTATCATCATAAATAAGATAAATTATATATTATTATAATACAACTCCGACAGTCTGACGTAATGGTATAATACGTATTTAAATGAGCATTAATTTTATTAACTCGCGGTAACGTTTTAAAGAATGTTTTTTGAATCGTTATTAATATAAGTATACATATATTGTTATTATTTATTTTTTTTTTAATTTGATAAAAACCTAACGGCAAACAGCTGGCATCATTTACCGACGAATACGATATATTACATAATTTAGCATATTCTTCGGGTAACCTATTAGAAATGACTTTGCGTATGTTTGCTAGTTTTCAGATGCATTATTATGAAAAAAACAGCTGATACTGACGGGACGGGTGCACCACAGTTGTAGATGAGAATTCGGGAAGGTAGGATACACAGAGCAATTTAATTTACACCCGTAAGCGACAGTAAACTATTGCCAATGAAAAACGATTTAGAGCGAAGTTCAATTATACAAACATTTTTAAATGCCGTAATATTTACGGTTTTCATCGAAATTGGATTTTAAAACTCCTATAAGGCGAAAATACAACATTACACTCATTTTGCTTTCCACTAAGTTTGTCTCATAATGAACCTCCTATCAAATTTTTGAGTATTGCTGTTAAGTTTACCAAGTTTTATCCACAGAGTACCTATCAAATAAAACTTATGTACATATTTTTCAAAATTTATGTGTATATAAATAGGTTAAAAATGTTTTGAAAATTTTACAACATCTAGTAAGTACAACAAGTAAGTATAAATTTTCTGTCGAAAATTCAAGTCTTTATGAGTATTTCTAACTAATTTAAAACAAAAAAAACAAAATTCAAAACAATAAAAGAATTATTTTCGTAAATTTGTCTGTTCTTTTCGGTTTTTTTTTTTCCGGTTTTGGTCAATTATTAAAAAAACGACTAGGACAATCAAAAAACGGCTTCCTTGGTCACTACTAATTAGATTAAAAATTCAACAAAAAAAAGGTTTATTGTTGTTTTTTTTTAACGGAGCAATATTTCTGGTGGAAAACATAATTTGTAAAAATTAAAAACAATGGATCGGTAACGCCATCCCGTGTTCCCGGTTTTAAATTATTTTAACGATAAAAGAATTATCCTGTATACGTCGGAGCAAGATTTCTTTTCGAAAAATTGTTTACAGACACGGAAAAAAAAACAAAATGCATATCGTAGTAATAATCCAATCTGAATCTAGAATGTTCGTATTTTCTATTAAGGGTTGATAAAAAAAAAAAAAAAAAAAAAAAAAAAAAATTAATTATTATTATAAAATCAGTATAAACATACCTGCATTATAATACACGTACTCGGAACCAGATCGATTGGATATTCACCTACGCAGGTGTGTTACGGGGATTCGATTTCTGCAGTAATTCGAAAAATACAAGATAAAAATCAATTTCTTCAGTTTCAAACAAACATTATAATATTTGGTTTTATTTTTTCCTCTTCCGCATTTCCCATTATCTCGCCGCTGCGTGGTGCTCCGATTCTCGTCGACCGAGTATCCCGTGGACCCTATAGCCAACAGCTAAATCTTGATCAGTTACGGATACTGTTGCTTCGAAAGTTATTCTCAGGAGCTCTGCCCCGATTCGATGCTGATCGATTAGTAAACACGCTCTGTAGAAAAATGTCCCGTGTGTCGTAAATTGAACCGATTTCGATTATCTTTTTTTAGTTGGAAATGGGAGGACTTCTTACAGGGCGCATTGGACTACTTAACACTTAAACTAGAGTCGTTGAAAAATCCAAATCCAATGAAAAACTTTCTACAGAGCAGTTTTCATCTTGCCAACAAGAAAAAAACTATGTTCTAAATCGGATCATTCTACAAGGCATGCGAGTTTATTCTGTAGACCGTGTTTTGACATGTCGTACGTTGCGCCCTTTGTGTAAAAATTAGAAACACCTAAATGATTGAACGAATTGTTATGAATTATTAAAACTACTTAGTTGTATAATTTATTATTATAAATTGTTAGCAATATTAGTAAAAGACCACCAGCAGGACCCTCAAGTTATATGATCATTGTTCTTCTTATGTAGTCTAATTGTCGATTATCGAGTCACTTCAATAATCAACCGTTATAATTTCAATGTTATTTTATTCATGCAATCTAAACACGACTTTTTTTTTTTTTTTTGTGACTATATGTACGTATACATATATTATTATTTATTAACTCGACGGGGAGGACGGACAATCAAGATAATGGGTTTATAATAATCTACTGTGTAATGATAACCGCAGTAAAGTCCACTACCGAGTAAATTATAGAGCCATCGCAATCATGAGTCTCCATCATAATATTATTAAAGTACTGCTCAACTACTCCGACTATCAATTTAATTTCATGTGAATAGTTGAAATTCATAACACGCGTGGGAATCCGGATTTATTATTTACGGCTAAACGGATAAACTTCTATATTTTAATTATTTACATTTAATTAAATTCATGCCCGACGTAATTGTGTGCAGATAAATTATGTAATAATAAAACGTACCCAAGGGCACAAATTCAGAAGAAAGGGGGTGGGGAAAGGGTAGAACCCAAATTTTCGTTAAAAATCAAAAGCATTGGGTACTATTCGAGTTTAGATTTTTAGCGTAACGAGGAATGAATATGATTTACCGTGATGTGCGCATTGTTTTTTTTCCCCTTATCTGTGTGTAACTTTTCTACCGGACGTTTTATCCAGATAAAAAAAAAAAAAATATCAACAAGAGTGCTTTTATTTTACCGTTATGGGTCCAATTAAGATGCGTCGAGGGGGTAATTTTTTTATTATCCAAGTAGTTTTTAAAATGATAATAATCGGCAAAAGCAGAAAAGTTTACGGTAAAAACGGTTTCGTTATAAACGATTTTTGATTTTTTTTTTTTTTTTTTAGCCACTTAATTCGGTTGAAAATAATTGCAATGACCTGACGTTTTCCGAGAATATTAGCGACTTTTAGAGACGGCAAAACCGTCAAAACATTCTGGCGGCTTTCGAGCTATTTATTGGCATTTGACATTCTCGAGTGGTTTATTTTCATTTGATTTTACACGGATAAAATGTTTGGCCATACAGAAACGCTTGTCGAAATTTAACACGAGTTTCTTTATAAGTTGTACTCAGTGGTAAAATGAAAACAAAGTTGAGCTTAATGCAGTGTTTTTATAAACGTTGTAATTTGACATTTACGGTATTTCAGAGCCGGTTTAACCAGAGTCGTATTAGCTATGATTTGTCGTTACGCGCTGATGGATATTAAATAACTTTATGTATTCTACTTTCTTAACTTCCCGCATGCAACGGCGGCACTACCTATAGAGAGAACAAACTCTGTTTTTAATTCGAAAAAATTGTCAACCGTTGTTATAAATTATCGAATTTATTACGGCACATCTACGCACACACGCAATGTAAAAACCGTGAATAGTTGACGCGTATACAGATTTTAAACGAAAAAGCTTTTCATAATAGTTTTCTACGGTGTTTTCCGAATTCTTTTGAATCCAAGGGGTTGAATTTCCCCGTCCGTGCGTACTCACTACTCCTACGCGAAAAACAAAAAAAATAAAAAAAAAAAATCGATGGGAGCGTGTCGAGCGAGACCGGCGTAATTCGTAAAGTATTGAGCCTGTCAGGGGAACGTGTACATGGGGTAAACGGTCTATTTATAGCCGTACGGGTGTAGCGGTCCGTTGGAAAATCCTCGAAATCCGGAACGCGCGGCCGGCCGCGCCGCTATGCGTTCGAAGAAGCGGGGACATTGTGGTTTTGTCGTAATTGCCGCGGGTTTCACGAAAGCGACCGGCAAACCGTACGCGCCGCCGACGCCGCGAGTTTGCTTTAGCCGATCTGCGACCGAACGGCCGTAACGCTCCGGACAGCGGCGCGTCGGCGGCGAGCGATTACTTTGGAAATTATAAATTTCCCCGTCGCCCGCGGACCGCCGGCGGCCGGGGCAGGGCACCCCCGTCCGGGACTTTTCGGCGACGGTTGGTGGAGCGCGCAGAGCACACGGCGCTTCGGTTGAACGCCGGACGGGAGAAAAAAATTTCGCCCGCTCAAAAAATAAAAATAAAGCCACCTCCACCGACGGCGGCGGCGGCGGCGGCGGCGGCGTACGGTCGACGAGCGAGCGCGCGTATACAGTGTACAGCGACCGGCGGTGTGGAGGACGAGTTAACGACGGCGCGCGGTGGTGGCGGCCGAAGGGACGGAAAAATTATCCCTGGACGCGGATGCGCGCGCAACGCTTGGGTCACCCGTGGCAACGGGAGGATCGCCGCGCGCGTCGCTGCCGATGCTCGTGGATATGGCCGGACGGTAACGGGGGGGGGGAGGGGCGAGCGTGACGGCGACGCGGTTTTCGTCGGCGGCGGCGGGCCGGTATGACGCGTGGGGGTGGGGAGAAACGGACAGCGCTCGGGCGCGGCGGCGGCGGCGGTTGACGTGTCGCGCCGCGCGTCTCTCGCTCGCTCTCGTTACCGCGCCGCTCTCCGCCCCCACTCGTACTCGCTGCTCTCCGGTCCGTACCTCGTTCTTCCTTCTCGCTCCCGCTCACTCAATCTCACTCTCTCTCTCTCTCTCTCTCTCTCTCTCTCGTTTTCGCTCTCTCTCGCTCTTCTTCGGTCGGCGTACACGCCGCTCGCCGCCAACGCCGACGACGACGTGAGACCGGTGCGCGCGGGCCGCGCACGTAATAATCCCGCGCCGGGCTGCAGTACGAACAGCGTAACGGTCGCGGACAGGCGGCTCTCGTGCACGTACGTTCTGGTCTCGCGCGCCACGGCACACGCACACGGCACCGATACACACAGCTGACTTCCGCGCGCGCGAAAATCGCGGTGTTATCAGCATCGCGAAAAATCGCGTTTTTCGCGGCTGGAAACCGATTTCGAGTTCCGCGATCGTTTTCCCGGCTATCGTTTTTTAATATTTTCTTACGATAATTTTCAACGATACACGCCGCACAGGTCTCGTATAACGACGTAATGTACACACGTGTGCGCCAGTGTCCCCCGCGTGTCACGTGAACCGTAGTACCCGCGATGTCTTTCCGTCGCTGTTGACGGCTTACTGCGGCCGTTGTCCGGAGCGCATTTACCGCCGTTTACGCGCGTCCACGTTCCTTTTCGGTCGTCCGTGGTCACCGCAAAAAAAAAAAAAAATAATAAAAAAAATAAAAAACAAACAATAACAACACTGTTCGGCCGGCGACGGTGTCTGTCATGTGGCGGCCGTCCGATCGCGTCCGCCGACCACGCGCTGGCCGCGCCGCTACCGACGACCACGGTGGTACCCGCGCCGTTAGTCCGTCTCAGCCACGACAACGGTAGCCGCTGGTCCGTCGCTATTGCTGCTGCTGCCGCCGCTGCTGCTGCTGTTTCCGTCGTACCACGTGCCGGCCGCTGCAGACATCCCGCGCCCATTAGACACCCTGCACAAGTACGGACCCTTCACGTTACTGTATTGTTATTCACGTTTTGTTTTTTCGTTTTTTATACTTTATATGGACCGCAGTCGTTCCGGCGTGCCCCGCAAGCACGTCCGTATCGTTAATACGGTGCCGGGAGCCGACGCGTCCTCGGCGGGGTCTGGTCGGACGGAGGGGGGACGGCCTTACACGGATTGGGAGGGGGGAAGGGTCGGGGGGACAACGTGCTCCCCGAAGAAACTCGTTCGAGTCGACCGAAACGGATTCGTTTCTACAAAAAAAAAACTGCATCCGGCCAGCCGAATTGATTTGGCTGCCCCCCCTCCCATATCTCCTCCATCCGAACTCCCTATAAATTGAAAGCGTTTTACGACCCCGAAAGTACGGGCAGTTTCACAACTCGCAGTTTAAAACTCGGAGGCGGGTATGACGCGTATGCGTATTCCCGAAAACAACGCGTGGACGTTCGGTATGGCCGGGTTAGGTTAGGTCAGGGAAGTCTAACCGAAAACCGACCGCTAATACACCGGTAACCTCGGCCGGACCAATCAAACGGTTAGACGCTAATATTCGTTAACGATAAAATATCCGCACGGCCGAATTTAGTGGGCACAGGTCTAGAGACTCTCGAAAATAAATCGAGGTGGTGCCCCCCACGAAAAAAGTACTTTCGTTATTTTGTAGTTTGTTACTTCGCAAATTTAAGCACTTACATATTTTAATTTGATTTTTTTTTTAATCTAATTTATTTATATTTATCAGGGCCTGTTTATGGGCTTCAAAAACTCCAAATTCGGCTCTGGATACACGTAACGGTTATACCGACCAATCCAATAGAAAATATAATAAACGCGTTGTCGTTTATACAAGATGATTCCTCCAGTAAAATCACTAAATTTTACGAAAAGTATTGAGTTTAAAAAAAAAATAAAAATATTTAATGTGTTACAAAAACAAAATTTGTTGTCACCCTTATTTTCGGAAGGGTGAAATGACTTCTCTCAATTTCATTTACGAATGGTAACTAAATTCCATTAATAGATAGAATTTGAACACGTTTTGGTGGTAACATTTTTTATTTCCGTCTAATCGTTGACGAGAAATTTACTTTTAAGTCCGGGTAGTAGGGGAGTAGTGTCATTTGCAGGTGACATGGCATGCGGCTTTTTAATAGTGCCCTCCCCCCTCTATCACTATACGCTCTCTGTACTCTCCCCATATCCAAAATTAAAAGTGGAAGATCCGTCAACGTGTTGACGGAAATAGAAAATGTAACACCAAATTGTATTTAAACTCCTGTATCTATTGATGGAATGTCAACGCAGTTGCCGTACGAAAATCAAAATGAGGGAAATCGTTTTATTGTGACATCTATTATTATTATTATTTTTTTTTTTGGTTTTGTAGACAACATTTATACCAGTAATTTTGCTCCGATTTACAATAATAGCACTTTTTCCGAAAGGAAATCGGACCAGGGAGGTACTTTAAAGGGGCCATTTTTTTGATTTTCCAAGAGTTTTCTCAATAAATGAGAAAAAACGGAAAAATAAGTACAGATATTAATAAAGAAAATGTTTATTGCATATGTAAATATTTACTATAACGAGACATACGTATTGTTGACAATGCAACACTATTAAGCGAACTCTGCTCAGAATCGTTTTTCGTTAGCAGTGGTCAATCGTTGCGTACAGATATACATAAAATTTCCCCTCTACATTCATAGTTTTTCACCTACAATATTGGCCCACACACGCGCGAAATAAGTCCGTCTTTTTTATTTTTTTGAAATTCAATAATTTTGCGAAATAACGAATGTTTTACGTTAAATGTACCGCTGTGTATACATTCGACTATAATATGTATGCGTACCTATGTAATGCAATAAATATTCGGACGGTTATCAACTCTCGATGAATTGCAAATATCGTTCCATAGGTATGTTCGCGTTAAAATATTTGTATACGCCGCTCATTGTATGCATCGGCCGCGCGTCGTAGCTACCTAATGTCTCATAACGTTTCTATTGTGCAAGCGAATAACATTTTAATCCATCTTTATATGTTATCACTTAATTGTTTTCTCGTGTGCAATCATCGTAAACCGATCATTCGCGAATGAAATGTTGTTCACGGTATAAAAAATATTGTATATGTTTCGATACATCGATATTTTGGTGTTGATTAAAAGCGACGTTTTTCAATGATATAATTCGAACGCGATTTACCAATGGATTTAACAATACTATACTATACGAGGCAATTTTTTTATTCCAAATAAAGGAGTGTTCGTTAATTTTCTCCCGGTTTCACGAACCTACACGATTATTTGTCCGCTATAACGATTTAAACGCTCACCTATAACGTATACAATATTATAATATACTCCGAATTTTAGTAAAAAATAAAATATAAAATTTCGCATTTTTTATCATAACACATTTTGTACGGTTTTCATGCGTATTCATCAATAGCCAATCTTGTTTATAATTTTCGACGTCATACTTATGATGATTTATAATGGCTACAATAAATAACACTTGCAGCATTCGTCAGATAATATTTCATTTGAAAATTACGTAAATATCGATATTTCACATTATAACGAATCCATAATATTGAACTTCCCGGTCATGCGGGTTTGGCCAGAAACAAATTTGCCGACAAGCTGTAGATAAATCCACGGCTTCTCTCAGGGTTCTTCTTAGCAGTGAAATTCTATGGTCTGACTTTAGCGCTGTCCTTAGAACCTGCGTTAACAATTAGTCACGGCAAGCCACTAGGATTCACTTCCTCTTAATTTTGCCACTTGATACAAATCCATTTCCCCGAGTATCCCACCCGGTTGCACGAATTTTACCGCTCAAGGAAAACCATTTCTTCCTTTTCTCGACTAAAATTTGGCTACATTTTATTTCCTTCCCGCTTTGATTCGTTTCGTCTATATTTTTCATCTAACATTCCTTTTCATATTCATTTTCTCCGCACAACATCCAAATTTAAATTTTCCAATCCTGTCTTTTTCAACCATCCGGGCTTTCTTATCTAATTGATTACTATAGCCCCCCTTAATTTTCGATATTAATTGTTTGACAAAATTTAAATAAAAAAAAAAAAAAAAAGAAAGATTCGGAAACTAATGGTTCCGTTCTCCTATCCCAAACAATTGTTCTCGTGTCTAGTTTTCAAACCGATTGAACGCCGGATTGACTATCGATGAGTATCGATTCCACCGAAAACAAGTTCCGAGGAAAATCGAAATGCGACGGATTTCTAATCTGATTGATCAGCATCGAGTCTGATGAGAAACACGCCAACTGTACCGATATATTTTAACTGTGAAAAAACTGTAGGCGTATTCGTCTGTAATTCGCTGGGTGTAATAACGTCAAGTGCTCGTCCGTAACCCGTATACTGTGTTAATTTTTATCAGAAATTCTCATTCATCAAACATCACGACAATAATACCAATAACGCATCGCAAGGATATATATATACGCGTAGGTATAATACGTTAAATCAATAATGTTTTAGAAAACTATTTCGCTTTAGAAACCGAATAGGTGTAGATAGGTGGGTATATGAGATTAAAACCACGGGTTATCGTGTTTGAAAAAAGTCTAAAGTTTAGAAATTATCGAAAAAAACACAAAAAATGTGTACACAAATCAAACGAGAATGTATTAATACAACGTTATACAATGTTCTGTTAATAATATCATGTTCGGACAGTTAAAAGCGGTACCTATGTGAGAATTGTTGTAAAACCTATACAGCTGTGGCTTTCCCTAATAATGCAACGTCAATTGCAACGAGTCGTTACAAATCACAGTGCAATTATGTATAATAATTAGTGGTTTATATTGTAATAGGCATATAATAAATACTATTGTTATACTGTAACAATATCACCCAGTAGTGCGTTTATAATCACCTAGGTCAATGTGTATTTTCTTAATCTCTAGGTGCCTATACTGTAATATTATTTATTGGTTCTGTAGACCGGCGGATATGCAAGCGCGTCGAGTTCATACGTGTACGTTTATTTCCTACAATAATATTCAGATAAGTACTTAACAATATAGAACGAACGGAATCAACGATATTTGATAATACGGTATGGTTTTAGTACCTGTTTGTTGTAATATTTACCGTCGGTCCGATATTATTATATATGCATGTATACAGGGTGCATCTTCACAATATGATAAATTACCATACAATTACACGCGGTATAAGCAATAAAGTTATAAAGTCCCGCATTTGGGTACTTAAATACTTAATATCATATTCGCATATTATGCACTCACAATAAAATACAGATATTATTATACCATGGCTACTTCGTGGTTCTTCGGTTCTTTGGTTTTTTTTTTTTAACAAATTGCAATAATTATGAATTTTAGATTCTGAATAAAGTTAGTCGGTTTTAAAATTATGTTTATTTTGTTTTATTCGTATTGTTTATTCTTTTATACTTTGTAAAAAACGGCCTTTTAAGACATGTATAGTATACAAGATATACATTAAATTCCCTTAAATAACCTATCTTCCCGACTTCTCGTCTACAACAGTTGCTCACCCGTTTTGCCGAAGCATGTCCGTCTCTTTTTTTTGTTTTTCTACTATTATTCAAATTTCGTATTTGCAAATAAACCGATCAATTGTTAAAATATACGGCCATTATTTAGGTACGGTTGTATTTTCACATTTCACACGAAATTCCAGCGATGTGATGACCGAAGGACCGGCACGTAAACTTTGTCGAGGTCGGCGAATCGGCCAAGTTTGTTTTTATAT